AAGTTAAAAAAACCATGTGGTGTAATTTTTGCAAATCTCAGGGACTAAATTTGAACTTTTTAGGACTGATTTTGCAAAAAATTTAACCAAGTTAACGATGAAACTCGTTAAGTGGGCTAGAGTAATAATCATGCGAGAAAGTTGTGGCCATAGCAATAATAAAAAAAAAATATTAAGGTTTTTCCAATTACGCGTTAAAAATTTAGAACTTTTATAATATTGGTCCATTAGTTAATAATTGAACTATACCTCAATGTAGACGTTCGCTTACTTAATATGTAAATTTAAATATTTTGCAATTTTATCACTACCTAATAAGTTGAATTTTGTGTAAGAAATATTAGTAATATTATTAATTTAAGTTTTCGGGTTTTAAATATAAAACCATTTACAGTTGACAACTTGACATATTATGACACCAATGTTTACGATACACGAAGGAAGACGAACGCATGTCTACGTGATGAAAGAAACATTTGTAAACGTATGTTTAATTAAAGCCGCCGTTCATGGCCCTTTCTTTTTAGTAAACATTCTACTATTTAAGATGAGTTAGGTTTTATGAGGACAAAATTAAAAGAAACAGCGATCTTCTAGACATTTTCAGAAAAATGAAATTATTTTTCATTTTCAATTTTCAATAGAAAATTTAAAAAATACGTTTAGATAGTATATTTCTCATAGGTTATCAATTTCCTAGTTTTTCATTTCAAACAACACGTACCTAATGGTGGGCCTTAAGATGTGGACTTGTAGTTCATTATTTTTTTTTCATATCCAAACACATCCAACCCAACCCACCCACCTACCTCATACCATCTCCTTTACACCCACATCACTCTACCAACCAACACACACTCACCCACACACCCCACCGCACACCACCTTATACGTACCGTCACCACACACCTACCCCAATCCCTATAATTACCATCACACTCACACTCAATCCATCTCATACATACATCCACCTCACCTCTATTGACCTAGACCACCACCCCCATCCTATGGGTGTGGTTGGATTGAGGGTGTGTGACGGTAGAGTGTTGGATAGGTATGATGGGGGCATGTATGTATGGTCTAGTTGGTATGGAGAGGGTGGTGAGGTGGGTATTATATGTGTATGTGGGTAGGTACGGGTAGGATGGATGGGCGGGTAAAAGTGGGATTGGGGATGGTGGTAGGGTGGGGTGGGGTGGTTTGTAAAAGATTTACAAGACACTTAGAGGTTTTGGTTTTTTTTTTCAAAAAAAAAAAGACCTTCTAGTTGCACCGCACGCCACACGTGCAGCATTTGGCCTTTCGTAACTTTTTGTTTTTTAAAAGACTTTCAACTTAAAAACTGTTGTGTGACACAACACTGAACTCTTCTCTTCAAACCACTTCTTATCTTACTTTAAGTAATATTATTCAATATAAATTTGTTTTAATTTTTTCAACAACATATATATTATTTTAATAATATTATGAAGGATGTATATTTTAAACAAATCAAGTATACTTTACATAATTTCAAAACGATTTGTTAAAATTCATATAAATATTTTTTTGTATTACATTGTCTATAATCAAATATTAATAAATTATATATTTAATCACTAAAATTATCAAATTTACTGAAGCTAACCGAATAAATAACCATCGTCTTGGAAATTTTAACAAAACAGAACATATTGTTCGCTAAATTAACAATTTTATTTATTGTTATTTAGCAATAATTATGTTTAATTATTTTATATAAACTCCTTTAAAAATCATACCATCACAATGATTATTATATTTGATTTGCATATAATTAAAACTAAATTAATTTGTTATTTAGAATTATTTTTACCTATTGTAAGGTTAATTTCAGTTTAATTATTTCAGCAGCTTGTAGACATTAAAAAAACAAACAGACTTCTTATTGTAGTTTACAGACGTTTGGTCCACGTCTTCTGTTGCAAAGGGTTACAGATGTGGTCCGCATATTACAAATGTTTTAGCTTCGAAAAAACAAACAGCACCTTAAAAAGATGTATGTTATAAAAATACTAATTGTCGTTCTATGCTGATGACTTATAAAATATTAGGGTGACAATCGTGTCCAGTGGCAGAGTTACATGGGGCGGTGGGGGTACTACAGCATCCCCAAAAAAATTGTTTTATATATATATATAAAAAATTATTTGTAAACATGTTTTATGTTATTGTACCCCCAACTAAAAAGATTGTACCATGTTTTTTAATGCCTATGATAAGATAACTATATAAAATATATCTTGACAATGTTTGTACCTCGTATCAAAAATTTTGGTGATCGTGTCATGTTTGGGTTGGCGGATCACAGGTTGACGGATCAGAACATCAACCCAAACACAACTTGTATAATTAATCATGTCTGGTCGGCCCTACCGGTATCTATCTAACCATAAAACAACCTATTTAATTATCCGGTTTCGTAGTTTTGTGGGTCATAAGCAGGATTGTGGGTTATAAACAAGTTCGTGGGTCATAAACAGGTTTAGGAAACAAACTAACTGATATGAATAAAAAGACACGTCTAATGACCAAATTCATGTATACACATAACAAAATAAACACACAAATAAAAAGTTTAAAGGTTAAAAACATTCATGCTACAGCCGATGAAGAATAAAGATGAAGTGTGTTGCATAATGCATATGCCGATAGTACTGAAAAGAAAAAGTGAAGTCTCGTTCAAGATTAGGGCATTCAATCGGAAAAAGAAAAGAAAATTAATAACTAATAAATAAAATAAGAAATGTGAAACATTGTTTTTTAACCTAAATAATATACGGGTTATCAGGTAGACCCACAAAGCCACCTACCAATCCGAACACGACCGTATAATAAATATGTTACACGAATTGGCGGCCAGAAAACTTAACCTAAACTCGTTTTTTTTTTTTCGTGTTGTGTTTCGTTTTGTGTCGATAATTGTCACCCTTATAAAAAAATTATCCAAAACATTGTGTATTTTTTTTTTTTTTTTTGAACAAGGTACCCAGCAAAATTAAGTTCATTAAGGTGTCATTAAAAATAAAACACACACCAACAATTGGAAGGTATATATATATAAAATTTTATATAGTTAAATCAACTAAGTTTACAATACCGAAGCATATCTAACGTAAATTCAGCTTCCACGCATGTTCATGCAGCTATGCCTAATAATCACTCAAGTGTTTGACCATTTTTTAGTTTACTTTAGCCCACGTTCAAGCAAGATTAAGCAGTTTACCAAAAACACCCTCAACCAAGTTAGCAGAAGCTGGTCAAGTCAGACTTTCTCTCTTTAAATTTCAAGGGCATAATCGTCTATTAATACACCCAGTGTAGAATTCAAATTAGGCTCACAATCACCAACTTATAGTCAACATGCATGCACCCTTTTCTTTCTCCTTGCCATTTAGTCATTTACCAAAAACACCTTCAACAAAACTTATCATATCCTTGTCGACCCAGCCTGCAAAAGGGCACAATCGTCTATCACACTCCTAGTGTAAGATCCACAGTAAGTACTTTAGGCACTATTCAAGCAAAACTGTCTATCACCGTACCACCTAATGTAGGATTCAAGTTAGGCTCAAAATCACCATTTTTTCTTCATTTTCCTAGCAAATTACCAAAAACACCCCAGAAGGTGGTAACATGGCATCACCTTGACAGGTCCCAAGGGGACAGATTCGTCTTTTCGCACTTCTCTTCAAGAATGAAAAAGGTCCAAAAGTGCAAGATATACACATCCAATAGGCTTTATATCTAACAAACATTTAACAAATTCCATATCTCAATATGAAGAATGTAATCGTTTTATCTTTCATCTTCATTGCGTTCTTGTTCACTTTAGCATCCATCAATGAAATCCAATTAGATCATCTATCAAGCATCAAAAAATGTGCCACCTCGACATCATCTTCTTCAAACAACTCTGTTCTTCCCATGAAATCACCGGAAAACGACATCAGAATCCTCCTCGGAATCCCAACCATGGCAGACCACCACGATCGCCGCCACTTCCTCCGCCTCATTTACGGGACCCAATCGGTGGTGGGAGCAAAAATCGATGTCAAATTTGTCTTCTGCAACCTAACAAAAGAAGACCAAAAAGTCCTAGTAGCGCTTGAGATAATACAGCACAACGATATCATAATCTTGAATTGCAAAGAGAATATGGATAAAGGTAAGACCTACACTTACTTCTCAAGCTTGCCAGATATGCTAAAACCCGATTCCGATTCCAATTCTGGTTCTGATTCCGATCCTTACCCGCCATACCATTATGTGATAAAGGGCGATGACGATACGTATTTCCGGTTGCAAAAACTGGTGGACACGCTGATTCCGTTACCGAGAGAGGATTTATACTACGGGTATGTGATTCCGTGTCCTAGTATGGATCCATTTGTGCATTACATGTCTGGAATGGGGTATTTGGTGTCATGGGATATAGTTGAATGGATAAAGGAATCGGAGATTCCGAAGAGACATTTGGTGGGGCCAGAAGATAAAATTTTTGGGGAGTGGATGAGAGAAGGGCGACGTGGGAAAAACCGATTTAATGCCAAGTGGCATATGTATAACTATCCAGAGCCACCAACAAGGTGTACACATGAACTTTGGCCAGATACGGTGGCTGTACATCTTTTGAAGACACAAGAGAAGTGGATTCGGACTTTGTCGTATTTTAATGTTACACAAAATTTGAAACCTTCAAAAATGTACCATATATCTTAGTTTAAGATTTTGTGGTATGTTACATTCTAACCATTTTTTCTTGATTTTTTCATTGTAAGCAATAAAGATTTCATTTTTTTTAGTAGTTTGTAGTTCTTATGTTTCTATAACCACTATATATCTTTTTTATCTTTCACATACTAAGGTGATATAAAGATAAAGGTTTCAGCATCACTTTGTTAAAAGAGTACTTAATGGAAAAAAAGAAAACGATAAGTATAAATTGAGCAACAACAAACAAATGCAAGGAACAAAAAAAATAACCTAAAAATGTGATCATGGATTATTAAGCTGAGAGAAGTATCATTCACAGGACTACAATTAACGCCCCATGCTTCCATCAAAATCTAACATACAAACAATTTGCATGTATACCCGTTACACCAAAATCAAAATCGGGTCAATTTTTCCCAAATAAAATTCGACATCAATCAATATAATACCCTTTTGATGAAATCTCATCATTTCATAATCTCCAAAACAATTTCATAAAATGTTACCCAAAAAAAAGAAAAACCAAACCAAACCATATTCAAGGCTTCAAAGCCAAAGCAAGACCCCACTTGGGACCCACTTCACTTCTCTTGGCATCATACTCTGCAGAGAAAGTAATCAATGATTTGGGCCGCCATTCCCGTTGGCACACCATCGCGAGTTTTCCGTTATCTGAGAACCGGGTTTTAACCGTGTTGTAACGGTCAAGAACGTGTGAGCTTCCGATTGTGAAGCTATTTTCCAATGTGTTTAATCTGTGTGTCATTTCAGCAACAACTTGACTAGTGTTTGAGGCGTTCACTGAGTGTACATAAGATGCCTTCAAGGTTTGCCCTTTATCTGTCCTGCAGTTGTTGTATACACAGTTTTAAGTTTTAATATCTTTAACATGAATACAACGTTTTTGGCATATGTAGTTCATGTTTTATATACAGTTGCATAGAAAGATTTACAACAGTGCAAGAATAACTTTTATATCTTCAAAATTATGTTATTAAAGAGTGCTATAAATTTCAGCTTATAATAGAACAGGTTGGTTATACTATTACGTACAGCATAAGGGCGGCAGAAAGATCGGGTTTGTTGAAGCTGATTCCGGCGGTGTACTTGGTGAAAGAAGCAGAGGCGGTGTCGAATCCGACTTCACCTCCAAGAAGTATGTCACCGCCGCCAACTGCCGCCGCCAGATTTAGAACCGGAGAAGGGTTCAGGCCGATACTGGAATCAATGGCAACTCGTGGATGAAGGTACTGCACATCAAGCTGAGAGTACAAGTAGAAACAAGTTATGTTAGTTTATTCATAGAACTATAAGATTATATATATATATATATATATATATATATATATATATATATATATATATATATATATATATATATATATATTTAAAGAAAAATAATTATTAACCTTCCCGGATTTATGATCAGGGACATCAAAGCTTAATATTGCTTTTGTACTTGGCATTACTTCATCAACAGTTACTTTTGTTGAGACCTGTAAAATGGAAAAATAATAATTATATTGTTGCAATTTTTTTTAGAACCCAAGGGTAAAATTGTCAGTTCTTACATTTGAATATGTATCAACTTTTACATCTACGATAGTCCTGCCACTCTTGTACTGAGCACTTATATCTCCAAGAAATATTTGACCTTTTTTCAAACCAGTAGCAGTCAGTCCCTGTAAAAACGTAAGAGTTTGCTTAAATGTAAAACATAGCAACTTACTTTAAGTCATTAATTGATTTGTTTATTATAACATGCTACTTTCTTTCCTTCTTTTTAAAAGCAAAATGTAATAATACCATGATAAGAAAAAAGAATGAGTACAATGCTATAATTTGGTAGATCTTTCAAAGTACAATGTGTTAATAAGAAAAAAAAATGAAAGAACAATGTTGTAATAGAAAGGAGTGGATGCTACACATAAATGATGATGAAACTCATACCATGGGGGTAGATCCAGGAACTGATAATACAAACTTGTGGTCATAGTTGTAATCTTTGGTCAACAGATCTGCATGAAGCAAGACAACTTATTCAGCTAAATTCTTTGTTGAATTCATTGGATGACAAAAACAAACTCATATGTATAACCTTAACTAATTTCTTATAATTTTATAATTTATGTTCAAAACTAATATAACCTATTATTGTTTTTACAAAATAATTTAACACTGCGGGGAAAAATATATAGTGTTTGACTTTTTCCTTTAAAGAAAATTGATGTAATATGACATGAAAAGTAGTGTAAAAGGTTGAAAGTTTTGGAGCGGTTTTGATCAACTTATGATTGCAGGTCTCTCCAATCCCATGAACTTTTTAGTTGACAAAAAAGGAAAGAATCTAGTAGAATGGCAGTACTTTATGATGTTTTTTACTATTTCTACCAAAAGTGAAAATTGACATTTTTAGACATTCTTTAAAGCCATATTTGTCCATTAAAAAAGAAGATTGCTAGCACAAAAGTAAAGTTTTTAAACAAGTCCAAAATTACACTTTCGCCACTCAGGTTTAGAAAATTAATTAACAATCCCCTACCAGTTCTAACAAGGTTAAGAAAATTATTTAGCAAAATACCCAATAACTTCAACAACTCTTTGATAGTATAAATACCCAATTCATTTATGACTTCAAAAACATTTACAACTCCAAAGTCATTACACGTAATGGTATACTAAATTCTTTTGATTTTTCCCATTAGCAATCATGTGTGCCTACAACTTTCAGTTTATGAACTTTGTGCTTTATCTGTTTGTACATTGATCAAAACACCTCGAGTGATTGCACTCAAGTTTGTATTGGTTTATACATCAACTAAAAGAGTGTTGTACTGAATACAACAAATCTTGAGTTCTTTAGGACCAAACGTAGGACAAGGAATCTAAGCCAGAAATAACTTTATTGTATGTTTTATATTATTGACTGGGAAATTCTCCTATTCCCACCTCCCTAGGTTAAACTTGCAAATTTGTAACTCATGCGAAAGCACAAAACCATGGTTAAGAATGACGATGCAAACAATGTCAATGTGGTGCCTTTTCTCAACTGAGCATTGGGTTTACAATATAAGCCATCAAAAGAGAACAAACACATCAAAATTAAGTGTATGTTTTCATGTCCCCAGAATCAATCAACATCTAAGTACATAAGAACTCTTAAGCAATCTTGAACAGCATTATAGTACATAAGGTAAAAATATACAAAAAGTATATAACAAATTAATGGAATTATATGTTGTGCAAAAAGGGAAGAAGGACTAGTCAAGTGTTGTTGGTGTAAGACCATAAGTTTTATAGACAGTTAAGAAAGTACATCTAATGTGTGAGATTACATTTGCAAATTAAGTCATCATACATAGGCTTGTGTATAAGAACTATAAAATGAAGGCTTACCTTTTGCCCGTTTTCCAATATCTGAGAAAGGTGCTGGCCCATTGCCCATTGCGAAATTAGAATTGAGGTTTCTACTCAAAGCTTTCAATCACAACCTGAGAGCCATGTCAAATGTTAATAGAGCAAAACAATCATATGACAGAAACACAAATAAACAAGTATAAATGAAATGTCAAAAGGTCACTAAGCCTAGAATGCAAGAATAATGGTAAGAATTGGCAATGAAAAATGCATGTTTTCAAGTAAAATGAACAACCGCATCTTCCTTATTCAAACATACAACAATAACTGCAATCATCCCAATAATCAAGCTAACAACCCCTTCAAAATTCCCACGACTCTCTTGTCCCTATCACCAAAAAAGAAAAAGTGTCTACATAGAAAATCTGCCCCTAGTTAAAATTACACCTGAAAAGATTTCAATTAAGCCAAAAAAAACCTCCAATGTTCTCAAGGCAACAAAGCAATCATAAGGATCTTACATAACAAAATGCCAGTCCACTAGTCCAGGGCTCCAGTCATTCATAAGGCATAACGTCTACCACCTTGAATGCATGGGAACAGATGCTTGTAAGTTGTATCAGGTGCATAGGTTCAACAGGTTAAGGAACCAATATACGATGCAACGCATGGATGCATATACATGTTTGTGTTGATGATAAAATAACTTAGAAATACAACACAGTCAAGTTTGTACTTTGTAGACTGATATCAAAATAATCCAATAACCTCAACTGTAACCATGACACAATAGATGAAGGCGTCATAATGAAAAAAGTGCTATTTCGAGAGTCTGAATGTCAATGTTAAGTTCTTAAACTACAGAAGATGTCCTATAATTTGGTACATTTTATCTCGATCTTGGATTTGGAGTAGAAAACCAAATTCAGAATCAACAACATAAGAGAAAATCGAACAGATATCAATGGTCACTTTCAATCTCATCCTCCCTTTCTCAATTATATCCTTCCTCTAACTGTCTGTAACTCTGATTTCTCTATGCCCCTAAGTTAATCACTCGTTTGATTTGAAGATCAATAGTCCGCAAGGCGATAAAAATACTTAAACACTCAGCAAGAATTAGCATCATAATCCTCCACAGTAATTAGGAAACCAACAGAATTTACAAATAAGTCTACAATATTATTACAGATTTCAGAATACTTCAAAACAATCAGCAGTTTTCAACGGCACAGGTATCATATCAATATCATCAGACGTCAATTGATTAGACAGAATTACTAGCAAATTTACAAGAACATCCTATCAGGAAAATTTCTACTTGGATAAATTGTAGGATGTATATAACGGAATGTACTTACATACACAGATTGTATAGATAGGAGACGTACAACGCCAATCGAGCTGGAGCAATGAACGACGCACTTTGGTCAGATTTTGTTGAGAGAGAAGCGCGGACTCTCTGCAAATTAGGGTTTTTATTTTCTTCGGATTTTTATATTTATCTCGCGTCAGAGTCGACTCTCGAGATTCTTTGATGGTCTTGGCAAAGTGTGCCTTGCTATCGTGCACGGCAGATGCGATCAGCCGTCCAGATCGATCGGCTATTCAAGTCCAAAACAGAATCGTTCTTATCAAATTTACATGGCCTTTTGCTCTACTTTAAAGAGCATTAAACAATTAATGTTAAAAAATTTGGTGGATGATTTAAAAATAGGATATCGACGAAAATTCATCGTTGTGAATGAAGTATTAAGCTGAATGACTATTTTTTTATTTTTGTAAAGATATCATTTTCGTCGGAGCATCTTATAAACACAACATTTGGAACAAATATACATTCTGAAACGTCACATACTCCGTTATGAATTCATATAACAAATTTATTATTTCCCACCTACAAGTATATAAACATGTTCACCTAACAATCTTTTATTCATACCATAGTTAAAGGAATTCATTCACTCTTCTACAAAAACTACTTCATTTAATCCCTCGGGTAATTGGCATTGCGAAGATGCATAATGTTATTGCTCCGAGCTTAACCCGTTCCCTGCTGTCGGTTCAGATCGTTTGGATTGCTATCGTGGTGGAGTGTTTCCAACTAAGATGTTTGATTGTACGTTTGAAGTCATGTCTGACATCCAAAAAGATAACATTATGGAGTCATAAAAGAGTTGAATACTTAGGCTATGTTTGACGTACTAACTGAAAAGCTAGCTGATAACTGAAAAGCTAGCTGTTAAATAAAAAGCTAGCTGATAAAAAATAACGTTTGGTAAAACTAGCTGAAATATAGAAAATTACATAAAAGACATGTAAGAGTATGTGTTTCTACGAACTTTGGCATTTTGTTTTATAAAGGTTCATAATTTTGGCATTTTGTTTTATAAAGGTTCATAATTTTGACATCCAAAAAGATAACATTAAATAAGGTTATAGATAAGGTCACTGAGATCCTACGAACTTTGGCATTTTGTTTTATAAAGGTTCATAATTTTTATGTAGTCTAGGACTTAGAGTTTTTTTTATCTGTTACTAAAGACATTTAACTCATTATAAAGCTTTTAATGTTACCATAGACTCAACCTCATATCCTCTAACTTCCTCCTCTCTAGGTATGTGTTGTCTTATAGGCCTCCAATAAAAATTACAGCAAGGTAAAAAAACCATCACATTTGTCCTTTAATCGAACACCAATTTACAAAAAATGAAGAATGGATAATTATCATTCTTAGTTGAACGCATTTTAGCAAACCGGAGCTTTTGTCAAAAAGTTATAAAAATAATAAAAATAAAAACAAAAATAAAAATAAAACATGTTTGTAACGACCCAAAAATCAAAGGTAAAAATTTCATTTTTAAATGTAGCTAAAGCATTAATACCATTTATTTCAAACATTTCAAATCATCATTAAGTAAAATATTTATCAGAGTTTATCCCAAAATCTTTCATTGCGGATATCATAGGTGTGTGCACTGCGATCAATCCGAGCCCTTCTTTTCCAAATCGATGATACCTGAAACCATAAACAAAACTGTAAGCACGAAGCTTAGTGAGTTTCTCATAGCATACCACACACACAATCCACATATCACATATCATGTTAGCTATAAAAGTTACATATATCACATAAGTCATGCATACATAAACCTAGGAATGTCATGGGCTACCCCACAATCCACATGGTCTTACATCCAACGTGTCATGGGCTGCCCCACATGGTCTTTACCTAGGAATGTCATGGGCTACCCCACATGGTCTTACATCCAATTGTCACGGGCTCCCCCCGGGGTCTTCCATGCAATAACCCACATAATCACATAACATGTCATATATCATAGAAATATCTACACATAATACTAACATAAACATGTAAGGATGTCGTGGGCTCCCCCAGGGTCTTATACCATAGTGTCATGGGCTACCCCACATGGTCTTTACCTAGGAATGTCATGGGCTACCCCACATGGTCTTACATCCAATTGCTACGGGCCCCCCTGGGTCTTCCATGCAAGTATCACAAAGTCAATTAGCATATCACATAGCATATAATCGCTAGCATACCATTTAGCAGACAACTATCTATCATATCACATGTCCCTACTACAGCTAGTGTACCACATAACATAACATGGGTCGGCCTTGGTGCCTTAGACCCATTGGTATGGTGAGAAGACTCACCTCACACTGCTGAAGTCCCGCAGACACAATCTCAGCTGCTGGATGACAGATTCCCGAATTGTCAATATCAAAACATCACCCAATTAATAATTGGGTTCCAACACAAAATCATAAGTCCAAGCTCGGGGTAAAAGACTGTTTTACCCCTATCTTAGCTTGATTCAACTCAAGGCCCAATCCAAAGGCCCAAAAGTTAAACTATGAATCAAAGCCCAACATATGGCCCAATTTTCCAAATTTGGCCCAAACCTTTACATGGTCTTATTCTAAGTCCCAACCATTTAGTCCAGTCCAAACATTTGGCATTTATAGTGGCCCAACATCTCATAATCACGAAGGCCCAATTATGGCCCATCTATGGCCCAATTTTCCAAATTGGGCCCAAACTGTGACACCCCAAAACCGGAACGGCGGAAACGTTCGGGGGTGGAGGACGTCATGTACAGTATCACAACAATGCATAGTAGTAAACAAGCAACAACATCATCCATTGCATTAATAATATAATTTAATACAAGTGTGTTCTGTAAAGTTTAGTAGACACCAAAAATGTAAATCAAAATAAAAGATGAGTCTTGTACGAGCTCCATCTTCTCAAAACCTGGCATTGGTACCTGTCTACTGGTGACCTGAGAATACAAGTTATTTTGAAAGAGTTTATCAGCTTTAAAGCTGGTGAGATCATAAGTATTTTAATGTTTGTGTTTGTATGAAAGTGTTTGTAAGTACTTGATGTATAAGTTTGTATATGTTTGAATCTCCTAGAAAACCCTATGTTTCCTACTAAAAGTAGCCTTCTACCAAGGCATCAAATGTTTGTATGTGAGTCTCTTGTAAGAGTATGTATTTTCCCAAAATCTGAATATCATTATCCAACAATATAGTGTTTACATTACTGTTCATTGTGTGAAGATTACAAAGTGAATGCAATGGGGAAATAAAATAGTACTGTAGTGTTGTATTAAGTAACTACTGCTGTACTAACTACCTTAAACCAATTGTTATTTAAAGTACCATGTGATATGCATGTACCATACTACCGACTAAAAACACGACGATGAAAGACGTCGGAAGGAATGACGTTTGGCACCCGTAGACTTGCAAGTCCCACTGTAGCGAGCAGCAAGGTGTAGGATAGTCAATCCAGTATAGATCTATACACAAACTCAACGCCCTCCACTTAAGGAGATTCTGGATACAAAACGAGCCATGACAGGTGATGTCATGCCCCGTTACGTGGCTCACATAACTGTAGTAGTGTTCTTGTATATGTATTTTGTGTACTAGCTGTATTGTATGTTCTCTCTCTGTCTAGTATGTATGTATGTTCTCTCTGTTTCTCATAACAGTGCGTTATGTTTGTTTCTCATCATAGTATTCTCTATCTATATGTTATGTTTGTTTCTCATCATAGTATTCTCTATCTGTATGTTATGTTTGTTTCTCATCATAGTATGTATTGACCCATGTATGAAATGACTCATTGTATGTTTCACTGTTCTAGTAATAGTATTAGTAACTTCCTAAACTATACCTATTATAGTTTACTAGCAATGTTGTTTGTATAAATGAACCTGTTTGTATACCTTTGCTACCCAAAGGTATTGAACTGGATGAAGGAACCTTTATATCTATACACATATACATAATATATAACTAAGATTCAAACGACCTTCGGACAAATAACCGATACCCTAAGTCCACAACCAAACAAGGAACAGGAAGTAAGGCAAGCTATCAGTCCTAAGTCCTTTCAATCCTACTTATATAACTATATCTATATAGATATGCATTTGAACAAGTATAAGTTTAAAAGAGTTTGAATAAAAAGTATTTAACATGTAAAAGTATTTGATAACCATTTGAAGTAGTTTTGTTTGTTAAAACAGCTAATTGAATAGCAAATCCTTTGTTTGATAGTTATTAATCACATGTGATTGATATAATAACTATAATGTTTCAACTTGTATTCCCCCCACCCCATAAAAGCATTTAAAATCATTTAAAAGATAGATTAAGGGGTATGAACTCACCTGTAGTGAGTGGTTTGGATGAACGGATGTTATAGGATGCTAAGTGTCAAGTGAAGACTTGAGCACACACAAGGATCCTAGTTAACATATAATAACACATATATGTATCCAATTAGTCATTAAACAACTAAATTAACCAAGTTAAGACACCCTAGGACATGAAAAACACTTTGATTCAAGTGTTATAAGTACCACGGATTGCATCTAAGGGTGGTAGGGCTTTGCTTTTGAGTTTACGGTCCAAGGGTAAACTCTTCATGAGTTTACGGTTTTGGGTTTACGGTCCCAATGGGTTTATGGCCGTAAACCCATGGTAACTTCTACCATTTGGTGTTTTGAGGTCTTATAAGTCATAAAGAAGTATCCTAACTTCAAGTCTAAGCCTTAGGAAGTGATGATGGCACCATGGCATCAACTTATAGAGTTTACGGCCCATGGACCATTTCTCTATGAGTTTACGGCCGTAAACTCTATGAGTTCTTGGTCTTTTTGATGTTTAAGGTCCTAAACACTTCCAGGTAGTGATCTAGACTAGTATCCAAGGCTTAGTAAGGGACTAGGGCTCACAATGGCCCTTTCATTAGGGTTTACGGTTCAAGAACATGTCTTGACCGTAAAAACCTTTGATCTTGTGTTTCTTTGTGTTTTCTAGTTGAATAAGAAGTGAAACAAGCCTTATAACACTCTAGGGTCAGAATACTTACAATAAAGGAGCTTGAAAGGGTGTTCAGGGCCCAAGAACACTAGTGTGTGTTCTTGGTGTTCTTGGTGAAATGAAGAATGCTTGAAGATCTAAACAAATGGGATGATTTCATGGATGAAATCATGTAAGATCACTAGATGATGAAGGATATCAACTAATTAAGGCAAGAAACACTTACAAAGTTGAAGATCAAGAAGGAAAATCGGATGCTACTTGAGAGAGAAATGAGTTTCTAGACTTGAAAATGGTAAAAAAGTGTATAAAATGACTAAGTGTCATATTTATACTCCTTAGAGTTTACGGCCGTAAACACCATGTTTGGGCCGTAAACTCTAAACTCTTGGAGTTTTGAGACTTTATTGATGCACCATAAACCCTAGAGTATCCTTTCTCCAGTTATCTCTTGAAGTACTAAGCTTAAAACACTCAAACTGACTCCAAAAAGCTTAAAAGTTAGCAGAAACAGTTCTGACTTCTATTGAAGTGAATGGTTGTACAAAATAGAAATTTCGGGTTGTCACACAAACCCTCACATATGGG